TTTTTTTTTTTGAAGCCCATGGTGTTGTTGAGGCCAAGGACTAGACCCACAGTGATTGCTGGCAGCGGCAGACGGTGGTTGTCCTGACAGGATAGGCCACCTGCCCTACCCTTCCCCACGTTAATGCTCCCAGCGCACCCCCTATCCCTACTATCCTACCTCAGTGTCAGGACCATCGCCCTACCAGTATCGAGGGCAGTCACCAGACAGCAGTGACAAGCACTCCCTAACACTATAACCCCCACCCTTCTTTTCAAAGTTACTGGGTGGGAAGCACCGTCCCTACCCTGCCACTAACACCCCAGTGTGACCAGCACTCAGGACCATCACCCTACCAGTATCGAGGGCAACTTGGACGAAGCACCCCCTAACACTACAACCCCTACCCCCCTTTTCAAAGTTTTTGGGTGGGAAGTACCGTCCCTACCCTGCCACTAACACCCCCACCCCCATCTTCAAAGTTCTTGGGCAGAACGTCAACGTTTGCAGAAAGCCAGGTACGTTGTTGTCAATGTCTGCTGAATCCCGTGCTGAAACTCCACCACTAACACCCTCACCATAAACCCCCCAACGCCCGACCCTCAACCCCTGAAATACCCCCCCCCAACCCCCCAACCCCCCAAACGAAACTTCTCTGTTCAAAGTTTTCTTTGCGGATTCGGGGAGATCTTGGTGAGCGCAGTCCAACCACGTTTTCAAAAAAAAAAATTAAAAAAAAATTGACCCACTTTTGGACCCAACCGGAATTCCGGTTGGACCACCGGCGGTCCAACCGGCCCGGTTGGATCCAGGCCGGTCCAACCGGCCGGTTGCCGGCACAGCCATGGTTCGAGGTTAGAAACAAAAAGCCGCCGACTTTCAATCTAACCTTATTAACGTACCTGGCCCATTCTAGTGACATTCTGCCTATGCTCCAGCACTTTGTGAACATCAGTGCGACCAAGCTATGATAATATACCCCTCAGCTAACAAGCAAGATGTATCGAAGACCTAGCAACATATTTAGTTATTTTCCCCTTATTTTGTTTAGTAAATAGTTTAATTGAACTGCTTTTATCCTTGTGTCTTGAATAAAACAGAGAGTTGGGCAACCAAAGAAACATGCAGTTGAGTGACTTACTCTTGAAGTCAAGCCCAACCCTTCAGAAAACAAAACAGTCAATCAAAGAAACATGCAGTTGGGCGACCTGCTCCGAAGTCAAGCCGAACCCTTCTCTGGAAAACAATCGATTGACATAAACATACAATTTGGTGATCTTCTCTGGAGTCAAACCCAACGTTTCCGAGAAAAAGTGATCCGCTCTATAAGATATAAGAAAACAAGTATACAACTGGCAGGCGACCTGCTCTGAAGTCAAGCCCAACCTTTTCAGAAACCAAGTCAAAAATGAAACACAACTAGGCGACCTACTCTGAAGTCAAGCCCAGCCTCTCGGAAAGTCGTAAATAAAACATACAACTGGGCGGCCCACTCTAGAGTCAAGCCCAGTCTTTTTAGAAAGTAATCATCGACAATTGAAAACATTTCAAAGCTTCTCTCCTTGTCATGTAACTTTTCTGACATGCACATTCATTCCCTTTACTACTCTTGATCCATTGGACCGTCTCATGGGCCGACCGGACTTGAAAATGTCGGTTATGGAGGTAATGCTTCCAATGTCTCATTGCCATGTATAGGGCATACGGTTCCCGCTAATAGGTAGATCGCATTTTTTTGGAAAACGTTGGGTTTGACTCAAGAGAAGATCGCCAGAAAACTTCTTAGTTGACAGAATTGTATGGAGTCAAACCCAACGTTTTCCAGAAAACTTTCATTGCCATGTATGGAGCTAGCTTCTTAGATGGCATTTTTTTGGACATGTACTTGACATGCCTCAACGTGTTCCCCTCTTCTCAGACTGATCCTGTGTGGGTCATTGCAGAGAATGGGTGAGCAGGCTGATGACAGACAGTACTTCACTGAGGTTCGCATCTTGATGAATTCATGCAGGGGTGGGTACCAAAATTCATGCAGCTGGTCATATATGGTTGTGGTATTGTAATAATCTGGCCCCATTTTGTGTGAAACGGTTTTCACCTTAGCAGTAGCAGATGGAGATCCCAGGGCTCGATCCCTAGACCTTACCACACCCATGTAGTCGACCCCTGTGTGTTTGAACCCGTGACCTGTGTTTTGGTAGTTGACTGTTGCCTGTCGTAGGTCTGTCGACTAGGGGTCATAGTTGTGTAGAGGCCGTAGCTGTAGCAATTCTGAAAGGTCGAGGTCGTAGCTGCTAGAGTCCTGAAAGGTCAATGTCGTAGCTGCTACAGTCCCGAAAGGCCAAGTCCACAGACTTCCGGAAGGTCCGGAAGTGGCCTTTCGAGTTTTATCACGTTACTCACAGCAGACCAGAGGCAAGTGGGCAAGTGGTGAGTCCAACTTCGCTTAGTCAGCAGTACCCAGTCCCAGTCTCACTTTGTACAG